AGCTATATCGCTCCTATCTAGGGAGATATGTTAATATTCGTAGTTGAATTTGTATCTGATACATAAGCCAAAGCAAATCTGTTACAAATTACCACATTATTAATTGTGTTGTACTATGTTTGGCCCCGTATCTGATGTGAGGGAGTAATTACCCTCTATCTATCCTTACTATTATGTAAATTTGCAATTCCGTTTGTTCTGTCAGGATACGGTGCAATTGATTTAAGCGTTACGCATTAACATATCTTGATTGTTATCGAATGAAAAATTTGAGAAACTATCCTTAGCAGATATATAAACATTAACTATAGAGTAAATGACCATGTGGTCCCGGCATAGAATAAGCCAACCCTTCCTTTCCCATGGATATCGTAAGAACCGACTAAGGGAGGGCGAAGGATGGGCAGAAGCGTCCCTCTTAAAACATCACTAAAAACCTAACTGCGGTTGCAAATACGCATGTCAAATGTGACAACTACCAGCAAAACCCCTCTTAAAGGGGAGACCTGTATTCATTTTTTAAGCTTGACTGCGATTGCCAACCGCCTGCCAAGCGTGGCAAATATTGGCAGAGCCCCCTTTAAGAGGTAGGCTTATGTTCAGCAGTGGATGATTGAAACCTGATATGATGATGATGATGATGATGATAGAGTAATCGCGTCTGTCTAATTAATATCTTTTTCTCAAAATGAAGAAAATTATTACGTATTACATAACTCAGCGAATTGGTGAAAATATCGTGTAACAAATACATATACATAAAAGATACTGTCGAATCGAGAACTTCCTGCTTTTTGTTTGAAAATTCTTCCATAGATGTGTCTTCCAGAGTAATGTAGGCAAATTTTTTACGGAAATCAGTACGGGAGCGGGAGACAACGGGGTCGATGGGAAACAGCTAGTCTTAAATAATTTGATCGTAAAAGGCAATTGGGTAAAATTGAAGGAGGACTGGTATCTTTGTTTATTATACGTCAACACGAATGCGACAGGATATTTTACCGGGAAAGAAAAAAGTTCTAAAGCAGACTATTTTAAAAGGGGTTGTATCAAAATGGTATAAAAATAAATAAATAAATAAAATATATGTATAAATATATACCTTACATAGTGACTAAAGAGCATACAAATGAAGAAAATAAATGCGGTGCTGTGAATTTTTCGAACAAATATTTTGAAATAACGTAAAAAATTCTACATGTAAATACAACTATTGATATCGAGAAATTGAATTTATGTTTACTAGTATAATATAATTATAACGAGCACAAATTTTCAAATTTCACAAACACCATTCAACCACCTCAATACTGTAAACCGGAAACTCTAATTAGCGGCATAACAAAATTTCCCCTTAATAAATTCCAGCAACATAATGAATATTTGGGAATTATAACTTTACAAGTTCATTATTTTTCGAATAAAAAATCAACTTTCATTGTGAAAAATATACGTCGATAAATGGTAAAAGGTTTTGTACATACCTTGCATTGTAAATGTTTGATTTTGGAACAGGGAATCACGTGTTCGCATAAAGATTTTCCTTCGTAACGTTTCTGGCATCGCAAAGAAAAACGGCTTATATCAATCATTCATTATATATTTAATATGGAACCAGCACGTGAGTAAACAAAGGTTGGAAAAATAATTGTGCAAATTCAGATTCAGAATTCACGACATACCTCATAATGATGATAACGAAAAAAATAATCAGCCGAATCGACTACTTCCTTCTTTTTGAAGTTGTTTAAAAATATAGATGAGTATGTAATAAAAATCTGCTGGCAAGCGGCCCGTGGAGGTATTGTTTGGCTTCTTTCACTAACTTTCTGGAAAGTTTCGAGAAGTGTCTAGACAACAATAGCTTCATACGTAAATAATTTGCTATATTTCTCTCTAAATAAACTAACAGCAACTTTATTATAACGTCGACATTTCGCCATTTTCACGCTAATTTATTCCGATATTTTTTTCTCGTTAGACACACACCGATAAGGTTACAAGCAATATCAGTATTCAAATAAGAAATAAGGATCAGAAATAACATTGGAAATTCAAAAGGTCGTGAAATGTAATCCCTTCGTTACATTCGTTCTTATTTATTTGAAATCAAAGTCAAAAATAGCGGCGGCCATATACGTAGGTATAGCTATTAAATATGCTTATGGAACAAAACAACGAAATAAAATGAGCCAATTAAATTACGCGTAACAAAAGTCACTTGAAACACAAAACAGCCTGTAATTTTGGCAAATATATGTAAAGGAGTTAAACATGTCTAGGGAACGGTTGAAATATGATATAATTATCGCTATTTAGTCCTCTATTGCCGACCGCGACGCGAATCGAGAACTTAAGCTATCACGACAACAATTCCACTCATTTACAACATAAATTGTCATGGTGCTTTGCTACGGAGATGTCGTAGCTGGGGGAATGTCGTAAGTTGCAATTTAAAGCTACTACTTATCGGTAGTGTTGCCATTTTAAATTATTTATAAGCGACTTCTTAATACTGGTTTATATTTTTTATTTGTATTATTATACTATTGTATTTAAGCTATCAAAACAGTAATTCCATTCATTTACAATATAAAATGTCATTGTGTTTTGTATATATATATATACATAGATGAAGAAATATCATAAATTTATAGATTTACGCCCTTATTCATATTCACATCTAAACTCTCCTAAAATAATTTTAGCTACGGAAATGTTTTGTTCTTTTCTTTTGCGCTAAATTCTCAATTTGACAGACAGTGACAAAACACTATACTCAGTCAGGTTAATTTAAATTAATTCATTATTGGTAGTAGAGCTGGCAGGTTTTATTATTTTTGTAAGTGACTTTAAAAAGGTGTCTTTATTTTGTATTTTTAATGGTTTATACTTCATAACTCCGATTCGATTTTTTTTCTTTGAATGATATACTTTCAGATCAATTCCATTGAAATTTTATTAGTATCATTCAGTAGTTTAGTTATGAAATCAAAATGTTATGACACAAATGAAGTTTCTTTTTGAAATTTTCTTTGAAGACAAATTTTCAAAAATATATTAATTTTCATCAAATATTTTGTATATATAAAATTGTAGTTACATGATTTAAATCTGTCAAGTATATTGAAGCATCGGTTCTATAGTTTAGGTTTTAAATCAAAATAACTGGTTTTATCACATCTGAAGTCGGTTTTTTCGTAGAACACAATGTTACTGTAGGCCATAATTTAAAATTATCTATATATAAAACGTTCCGATGAGATATAGCAGTAACATATAATATATAAACATAAAAAATATTATTAATATTTTCAATGCAAAAAATATCAACTTTAATAGTTATAAATTTGATTTTTTTTTTTTACAACACAGGGGGCAAACGAAAACTGATTTTACCGCCGCCCATGATTACCCAAACACCAGCATTGCATCTTTTAGGAATGTCTTTTCTATTTTTTCATATGAGTATAATACCAAAAATAAACCAGATCGATGGCAAAAACAATCATGTAATCGACCCAGAAATAGCAAAGATAACACGTAACATACACACATAAAATGTACAGAAGAAGTGAGAATCTCCTTTTAGATCCTCATAGTACCTACAAATATGTTTCTGTGCTGTAATTTGTCTAAAGCTGGCCACACTATCGCAGCCGTTCGCCGCGGGGTTTAATTCTTATTTATTGAAAGGACGCTGTCTTCGCGACTACCGGAGTTATTTTCTAAGGGATCACTTTGTGAGACCGAGGCCATGTTTTATGTGATTTGCGGTTGTTATGCTGAGCTCGCAACGCTTTGAATGCAAGAGCTCGACCAGTGAGTATAGTAATGTAATGTGATAGCAATTATTACCTCACATCATTATCGTTCGTTATGAAATTATGAAATAGCGGAATTAATTGGGCTTCTTCCTGGAAATTTAGATAATAGAAGGTTCGTGGACAAAATTAGTTTCGTTTGACGTTGCCATATCTATGATGTCATTTATTTATATATATCTCTCCACAAATATATGTATATTATTAGAGTAATGGAACGTTGAAACAATGATATATTCAATATGAAAATAATAAAAATATTAATGTAAGATGAAAGAAGAAAATATAGTTTAAGTAATAAATTGCAGTGCACGATTACAGTTTGTTGAAAAACATCCCGCATCATTCACTGAAAGGCTCCATGTAGGTTATTTATCTTCATTTATTACAATTAATGAATACTGATTTACATTATAGACAGATACGGGTCGTTATTTATTTATTTAAATCTTTATTGCACTAAAAACTTAAAATATACAATGACAACTAGAAAATTCAACTGAAATACAGTAGCATAAACTATAGATAAAAAAATATATACAGATAGAGGTGGTTGTATTAATTCCATAGTTTTCAATATAAAAATCGTTATAAAACCTTTAAAAAGCTTATTTTTTTTTTAAAACAACCTAATTAACAATATGATATAGATACGTTTCTAAAATTCTTATATAAACTTATAAAAACAGCTTCACTTTTTTTTATGCAACTCAGAATGGAAAACAAGCTGACGACCCACTTGATGGAAACTGGTAACCAGCGTCGCCTATAGACATGAGCAGTAACTTGGACATAACAGAGTATACTGTTTCGCCTATGAGATCCCCCATCCGTTGCCATTCCTGAGGACTCAGATATTGTTCCTCTGTAGCCTATAAATTCACTGCCATATCCCACCCTTCAAATGTAAACACAGCTATGCAAACACAACTGGTTCACGGTAGAAATACGAAAGGGACAGAAGTTCCCAAGCAAACGACTTTTGTACAAAGTCTCTCTCTGATAATTTATGATATCACTGAATAAAAAAAAACTCCTACGTTTGTTTTCCCGGATTTATAATCTAAGTAGACACTCTCAAAACTGTTTTGGTCTTCCGGGCTTAAATTTAGACCTCATTGCCACTTCTCATCAGTCTATTCCGAGACCTTTTAATAGTAAAAAAAAATTACTTACATTCGAAGACAGTTAAGGTCGCAACCGCAGTGACAGCATCGCCCACTCCGTTCTCAGCAACACACTCGTAGGTGGCGTCATCGCGCGTCGCTCTCACCGGCTCGATGCGGAGGACAGCGCCGTTCGCAGCGGGACCCGCCGCCGCGTCCATACCGGATACTTGGTACCGGGACTGCATATCTGTAAGAAATTAACATATGTTTAATACAGGTACTTAACAATACTAAAAGGCAAACATATTGCTTCTACTCCTGTGAATATCGCTCTCTGGTATCAAAAGTTTCTAGGCTGCCTTTCGAAAGGATGGCATAAGAGATATATACATGAGAACGTTTTAAGGTACAGAGGAAAGTCTAGATTGATAAAATCAAATTAAAGTTTCTTTAATTTGTTTATAGGCTTTATAATCATACTTGTTTTAATGTCGAGAAGAAACTAAAATAAATTAATTAGTACTCTTTTCAAATCTTTGACTGAATGAAATCTCTTTATTGTTCTCTTCAAAGATCTTTGTTAACATTATATGTAATTATGTAGAATTTCATGTATATAGATAGCATTAACATATGTTTATGATGTCTCTTTATTTGAAAGTAACAAGGAAACTTGCAGCTAATTTAAAAAATAAATACAGTAAAGCAAAACTGAGAGCCAATTACAAGTTTTCACAGGGAGCTTTAGAATTCTACCGAGATGTTCTTTTGACGACAGACAAGGACAAAGATATAAATAAGACATATGCTCAAGCATTATAATAATATATTTCAATTTAAGAAATAAGTAGGAGATGTGTACAATGATAAAGTTATTAAGCATTATCGGGACTTTCAGTTTCATATATAGTTTCTGTTCTAGTTCTAGTGATCGGTGGTCTCTGATCGTTAACGCTGTTTTAAGGATATACATAGCAACTGTTAACTGTCTATTGCAGAACATAGGCCTCCCCCATAAGGAGGAGAAGGTGGAGAAATCCATTAAGATCAACAGTAGTCTACTGTATCTTCCTGGAAGAAGCGTTCTGGGCGTTGAGTGGCAACCGAAAATAAAATTATCTAAGACAAATTAATGTGCCTTACTTATACATTTTGAAATTGGTATGAGTTCTATATCTATAAGTTTTAATAGAATGGAAATCAGTAAGGACAGACAAACCGTGGCGATAGACAGCATTCCATATATAGGTTGTATTGGCCTTTGCAACAATGGATTAATAAGGTCAGAAGTTGATAGAGGCAGACACAGTCCCGGAATTCACAATTTAAAACAAAGACAGTAGCTCTGAAATTTTTTATTTTAAATTATGTATTTGACGTAAGAACACGATTATAACATAACAAGGTTTTTTTCTTCGTTATTAAAGTTTTCATATGAATATTTTACGTAGCTGGGATGACCTAGTTGTATCGGATTGCTTTTCTTGTTGTTACTATTTTTACTCGATTTCTAAAAGGAAGAGGACTTCATTTCGGTTGTATTATTTGTCATCTCATAAATAAATAAATTTGGATGTATTTTTGGACGATATATTTTCAAGTTGATCCCATAGTAATTTTCTGAAAATATGTAGATTTTGAACTTTAGTTTTTAAATCAAAATGATGATCTTGTTACGACTGAAGTTGGTGTTTTTTGTGGAACAAAATTTTAAATTATATTTCTGAAAATGAACTATATAATATTTTATGAATTAATTATAGAAAAGAGTAATGGATCAGATAAGGGTTCATAACTTAAGAAAAAATTGCATATATGTCAGTAACACAGTATAAATAAATATATGGCAAAGCATGAGGGTGCTATGGATAATGAGGGCAACATACTCTGATATCTTTGTGCTGCTCATATCTATAAGCGACGGTTACTACTTTTCATAAAGTGAGCTCTCAACTTGTTTGCCATTCTGCAATTGCAAAAAAATATTTATGTATCACAGTTAGAGAAAGTTGTTTATTTTGTTTGAATTCTATGCAAAAGAGAGTTCATATTTGAAAGTGCCTTTGTTATTAAAAGAAAATTATATATATAAAACTCTTTAAGTAAACATGTTGCTATATTCGCAATTTTATTCATTATTTTAAAGTAAATATATATAGCTATTGTAATTTCTTATATGTACTCAATAAAAATTCATTTCTTTATTCCAGAACAATTGATGCAAATTATATTGGTCATTTTGAGTCGCTGTGAACTTAGGACTAAATATATTTGCATATAAGTGTTAATTATAAAACGGAAATATATTTTATAATATCGTGTGGTCCCGGCATAGAATGGGCCACCACTTCCTTTCCTGTGGTTGTCGTAAGAGGCGACTAAGGGAACTTGATGATCGAGGAATGGGCAGTAGCGTACCTCTTAAAATATTACCAAAGCCTAACTGCGTGTGCCAACTCGCCTGTCAAGCATTGCAACCACTGGCAAAGCCCTCCCTTATTGGAAAGGCCTATGTTCAGCAGTGGACAGATATAGCTGATATGATGATGATGATAATTTTTAACTGAATATTTATTTTAACTTTCCATTTGAATATAAACAGTAGATTTCATTTTACACATGTTGTTTGACTGAAGTTATACTGTTCGTTTCAAAGCATTGTTCGCCGAAAATTCGCGCTATTTGAAAACTAGCAGTCTACCGCGCGTACATGAAAACTACGTCCAATATGAGTATCAAAATTTTATTACTAGATTCACAAGTCAGGTTTAAAATTAACTACTAGAATAAAACAAAAATTGGTGAATGAAATCGTCTGATACTTAATTTTAGTCCAACTTCTTTTACAATTTTATTCGCTGAACCGACAAATGTTGTTTTACTTCTTACCGCCAACTTATTCTTATTGGAATAAGAACTATCATATGTCTCAAGCTGGAGCAAACAATACACATATACTATCAGGTAGAAGCACGTGTTAGATATTTTTTTTTTATTTTATATTAATTTTCTTAAACATCTTGTGTCAAAATGTGTACCTACATTTATTAATAAAAATCAGACTAACTACTTTAAATATACGAAAATGTAAAAAAATTTATTATACCAAATTTGGTAATAAATTATTCTTGTAATGTATATAGAACATTAATTTATATTATAATTAATTTTATAATTATTTATTGTCATAATACTTGAATAAAAAGCAATGAAATTGTAAGAACACGTCGTCTCGCTGACTTGTTCACTCGAATTCGGTCCTGTAGATATAAAAGATTGTAATTTGGGTGGGGAGGCACTTCTTGTCCAACCGTTGAACAGAGCAGAGCTCCCTGATGTATCAAGAGTGAACAAGTATAATGAACCACGTGGTCATTATATAAAATATATCACAATTATTGTTGATGGAAGTCCTAAAGAAGCTATATTTAAATAAGTGTCAATGGATTAACAGAAGTTGGGTATTAATATTATATTATTTGTTATAAAAAATATAACATAAATTATCAAATACAAAGTAAAATAAGTAAATATATGATTTAGTAATATGATATCTAAATTAAATGAACTAAGTGAACTTGTGCTTCATTTCTATTTATCAATAAGAGACTTACAACCTTTATATTGCTAAAGAATATATCATATACATGTAAAGTTAGTATTACGTAGTACCCCACATAACATATTATATATTTATATTAAATATTATAAATAATAATACCCTTTTTTTGAGACACGCATGATCATTTAACAAAATTTTGCTTTGAATTACCATATCAGCCTTTTACTGTCCGTCCACAGCCCTCTCCCAGTTTGTTTTGGTAGTTTTGGCAGTAATTGCCAAGCTTAGCATGTGTGTTGGCAACTGCAATTAGGCTTTGATCATGTTTTTAGAGAGATGCTGTTGCCCATTCCTTGAGCATTACGTTCCCTTAGTCACCTATTAAGACACCAACGGGAAAAAAGCGGTAGTCACTTACCATCAGGTGAGCCGCATGCTCGTTTGCCCCCCGTGTTGTAAAAAAAAGAAGGGGTGGCCCATTCTATGTCGGGATCATACGGCATTATATATATAATTGATTTTTTTTTGCCGCCGCCCATGATCACCCACAATACCAAAGCCATTGCAGGTATGCTGCCGGCCTTTTAAAAAAAATATGCTCTTTTCTTGAAGGTTATGATGCCGTATCGGTTCGGAAATACTGTTGCTGGAAGTTGATTCTAAACAGTGGTTGTGCGTGGAAGAAAGTGCCTTCAAATACGCACGGTGAAAGACTGCCACTCGTCCAGATGGTTGGGATGAAACTTTGTACAAGTTTTATTGCAATCAATTCAACGATTTCGGAGATTAGCGTGAACGAACATCGTGACACGAGATTTTTATATATTAATATTATACGTATACATTTCAAAAACAAATAATTCGTACAATACTACATAACCATTATTTCAAATAATCATAATAACTGATATTTTGTCAGTTTAAGATACCGTTTCAATTTCTATATATTGTACATGATAATGCACCTATAGATATATTTGATTTCAGTAAGAGAGTTGAATTCTAGTTAGTTTTGGTGTACAGACAAACAGACAATGCAAATATTGGTGAGATATCGCGAATCAACGCGCTCTACCCCTGGCTCGAGGCGGTTAACGTTTCTGAATAGAACTCTATTCAGTAATAGTTTCTCAATTCAGACAATATTCAACGTAATTAAATTGAACTAAGTATATGCGATGTGTGCACTGGTATTAGATTTCGAAAGTGAATGCGAGTAGAAAATTGAGTGCTATGTTCGCCACAGAGTAAGTCTTTTGTAATTTAAAAACTTTTTCTTTTATATTTTGATTTTAGTAGTCATTCATGTGGTTTATGGTAAGTAATAGTGTAAACATATTATATAATATGTATAAACATTTTATAAAATTATATAAACATATTAAAATAGATTTGTTTATATTTTAAATTGTTAATTTAATGATTTGTATAACTATGTTCTGAATATCTGCGAAGAATGCAATGCAATTGGGCCAGAGGGAGACTTTGTACAAAAGTCGTTTGCTTGGGCACCTCTGTCTCATTCGTGTTTCTTCCGTGAAGCAGTTATGTTTGCATGGCTGTGTTTCAGTTTGAAAGGTGGGATATGGCAGTGAATTACAGGGCATACAGGAATAACACCTGAGTCCTCTGGACTCCGGACTTCCGTTCGTAATGGCAACTCAACGAAGGTATACTCTGAGCGA